ATTTAATTATAAATAGATGTATACTGTTATGAGTTTAAGGTTACTTAGGATAAACGAAGGTAGATTCATGTTACAATTTGAAGTCATTCTAGAAAGAAAAAGGGAAATTAAATTTTTTTGTGGTTACAAGGTTGGTCAAATATACCAATGCTGTATAGGGTTAGGGTAGAGAAAATAACAGATAAAATATAGTTTTATTAAAACCAAACATCTGAAATGAATTTAGGAAGTATGAAATTAAGCAAATAAAATTTAAGATTTTTGAGATGAAGAAAAGTATTTTTAATCTTAACATGAAAATCATTTGGCACACAGACTATTCAAACCAGATACTTTATATATTCATGGACAAATCTTTTTTTAGTTTATTTAAAATACTTCATAAAAAATATTTTTTTTTTTGTATATGAAAGAGTTAATGTTTACTGAAAGTGCCAAATTTTGTGAAGATATGCATACTATATTAAAAGTTAGTATAAAATCTATAAAGACTTTATACGAGTACAAAGAGGTCATGTGGTCAGTAAAATTGACTGAGCCTGTGTTCATAGAGTTAATTACTTTGTATTCTCTTGGACTGTTCTTGAGCTCATGGCAACAACACAGCTTCAAAGTTTTTTCCTGTGCTCTAGAGGATATTTAATGTTACATCTTCACATTTTTGGGGAATGAACATTTGTCCTTGGTGCAAATGATCTGCTCATTTAAATCAGTAAATCAACTGTTCAACTTCATAAGTAATTTTACTTTGGTTGCCATACAAATGGATTTCACTTCTTAATTTCTTTGTATTTTTTGAAACTGTTCTTGAGCTCATGGCAACAACATAGGTTCAAAGTTTTTTCTGTGCTCTTTTTGTTTTAGTAACTTTCTTTCCCTTTGTGACAAATGCCCACCATACAGTTTCTATTCACAGGTTGTAAAATAACTATGTGGGCCTAGCTGGTTCACCTAACACTGTTTTTGATGCTATCTTCTTTGTTTTCTGTTGGGAAACTGTTTATATGAATTATTTTTTCACTTTCCTTGTGCCTGACTGGAACCTTTATGAGATGCTAGCTTTTGCTCCCAGAAAAAGATAAAAGGAAATGCTTTAACAATGATCAAGAATTATTAAGAATTTTACCTTCTGAATGTGGAATTTTGAAAATTTTTTAATATACGTAAACAGTGAACTTTCCTGTAATTTACTAAAATCCTTCCCAAACCAAAGATGTGGTTTAAACTATATCACTACTTAACTTGAAAACTTGTAAATAGAATAATTAGCATACATAGAAGTTAGTTTGAAAACTGGTATTAAAGTAATATTTACTCATAACTAAATACATCTCAAACTCCAAACTACATACAGCACTGAACTCACTGACTAAATAACTCAACAGATAGCTCACTGTCTAACTCATTAAATTTCCACTATCAGCTAGACAACCTCCTTCGAGACGTACACCTTTGTTGCTTTTGGCCTGACATGCATGTCCTCATCCACTTTGCCATCTATGAATTGGTCATGTGCCAACGAATCCATCATTTCATG